GGGGATTGTTCGTCCTTCTGTTATACTCACTCATTTTGTTGATGCCTCCGACGGCACCAAGGCCAGTTGCGCTTGCTGGAGGCTCGGCTGTCTTGGACGGCCGTCTATATGATTCTGTAAAGACATTGGAGAGTATGTCGTAGGGGTCAAACTGGGAGCGCAAACGTCAGCATAGTGTCCCGGGGGCAGACATGGTGCACAGCAAGGCAAGAAGCATATGCAGGGTGGTCTTACCTCATTCTGCACGAGATCTTTGATACGCCTTCGGTCCCGCGCCGGCAGCTGCATGACCTCGCCCTTCAACCGCCGCTCGGCGGCATCGCCCGACACGGGTTTGCTGCCGGTATTCGTGGCGGGCTTGTCGTTGGCGCTGACCCAGGGGGCGAGCCCCTGGTCAGGCATCTCTCTCGTGACATTGCCGTAGATGGCGGCGACGAGCTGGTTGTGTAGGTGCTCCCTGTCGCCGCCAAGCGATTCGAGAATGGGGTCGATGCGCTCGGCGTACTCGGCCTGGTTGAGGCGGCCGATGAGGAATTGGGTCAGGGACTCCTTGTAGATGGCCCAGTGCTCGACGCCGATGGCCTGCTTGAGGGCTGTGTATAATGGTTCGAGATCGATGCGGGCGGGGATGATCTGACTCGTCTTGCCGGTCTTGAGGGTGCCGGGGGCCGAGACGGTGATGGACTTGTTGGAGAGGACGGGGGTGGTCAGGCCGATGGCGGGGCGGCTCAGAGCCGCGGGGTCAATGTCGGGCATGGCAGCGAAAAGGCCGCGCGATGGACACTGGAAGAAGTGATGAGGGGGGGTTCAATGTCGGTTTCGAAGGGCGGAGATGGAGAGGCGATGGCTCGTTGTTGCTCTACAGAGCGAGGGCGCGCGACAGTGGTCGAGGATGCAGGGTCGAGGCTAGGGGTGGTGCTGGGGGTCGGCAGTCGAGTCGCGTGCGGCCAGTGAGCACAGCGCGCCGCGAAAATAGTGTCATGGGCCGCACTGTTCGACAGAGGGAAGTGAAGCGATCATGGGCAGCGGTTCAGACGGATGGAAATGGTGTCATGTGGTCGTGGGGTTGATGGCGACGGAAGGCGAGGGTTGACGTAGAGAAGATGCGATGGCTTTGGCATGTCGTTGGAATTTTGTCCGAGCTTCCAATCGCAGAGCCCACGGCTTGAGCGAAGCCCACGCACGGCTTGGGCGACACGACCAGATAGGCACCTAGGTACCTAGGTAGGGGTGGGCTTGGGGGCCTTCCGCGTGGGCAAAGGTACATTGCACTGGGGGCGTGCACGCACGACGACAGAGGTACAGGCTACATGCCCCTGGCCTCGCCTGTGGACGACGTTCTGGGCGGGCAGTCGTCCCTTGACGCTCCCAGCCCCAGCAGCACCTTCCTGACGCACGGCACCTCCCTGAAGCACGGCACCTCCCTGGAGCCCGGCACCTAAACATCGAGTCGCGTCCCCAGCGCGTCGCCCTGTGTGTCTTTTAGGTGCCAACCACAGACCACAGGCGCGCCTCCCTCCACCAAGCTGTCTGGCGCAGCGCATCGCGGGGCACCGCTTCGGTTGACTCGATTGACTCAATCTCAATCCATCACGCTGCTCCCCCCCCAAAACCCCAGCTGTCATCTCCGTCACCGACTTGGGCATCCTGCCACTAAACATGTCATCATGTCCAGTCGCGAGCATCGCATCGCCAGCGCCGCCGATAGTCTGATCACCCACCTCGTTCCTGGCGACCCCGACGAAGACGACGCTGCTGCGCAAGAGAGATATGACAATTGTTACGACCTCGTCAACGCCATAATCTCTGGGTAATGCCACCTCCAGCCTGATGTCTTCCAACAACACCACCCCTTGACCCTCTCGTGATGAACCACGGCCCGCTAACCAGTGAACCCTCACACAGCCCCGCCTCCCCCGCCATCACCTCAGACGTCAATCACGCCTCGGAGCTGATACGAAGCAAGCTCATCCAGAGCAACCCCAGCCAGGCCCTTCGCTTCGCCAACCTCTATACCCGACTGCTATCCCTCCCCGTTCTCAATCAGAAGTGGGCCATCCTCTACCTCCTCTACCAACTCTCCGACTCTCCAGACCCCGACGAACCTCTGCCCCTCAGCCCACTCCCACCCGCGCCGCGAGCCGCCAGCCCTCATGATGCAGCGAGGCGGCCCGACGTGGACCGCGTCTCCAAGACGTCGACGCCCGTGTCAAGGATGGAGGACGAGGCCTTCAGAGAGGCATTCGCCCAAGAAGGCCTGAAGAAGTTTCCGCCCCAAAAGGCCGCCAAGAGACCTGCGTCAGACGACGAAGACAGCACTGCCGAGAGCCCCAAGAGGATTGTGGCCCTCAAGTCGACTCTGCTGGCAGACAACTACACCGAGATCGAGCCTTCCGAGACGGCTCTGCTGCGCGACCTCCCCTTTACTCTGCAGGGACTGTCCTCTACCGCCCTTCCCTTCCCCAAGCAAGATACCCTCACCCTGCCGCCTACCTTGCCTGCTCCCATCATCTCACTTCTGCACACCCTCGCCGAGCCGTCACTCCTCTATCGCAACCTCGACGCCTTTGTCACGTCCTCCGCCGAAGGCCTTCTCCGCCAGAGCCTGCGCGCAGCCATCAGCGGTGAGCTGCGTGCCTATCTGAGCCTCGTTGCCACGCTCGAAGGCCAGATCCGGCGTGCCCTTTCGACGCTCGACGAATCCGCCCCTAGGGGCGGCATCGGCAAGGCCGGTGTGACGCTTAAACGGTGTGTTGTTTGGACGAGGGAGGCCACCATGGGCCTCCGTCTCATGAGTCTCGTCGCAGAAGAGTCGGAGAACAAAAGGGGCGGTCAGCTGATCTCCTTGATCCACGGCTTTTCCGCCTCGCATGGAGACCCCATGGTGGCCGCTTTTGCAGAGAGGCTCCTCGCCCACGTTACGAGACCTTTCTACGACATACTGCGCCGCTGGATCTACGATGGTGAGCTTCTCGACCCATACTGCGAGTTCTTCGTCAAGGAGCCCAAGCAGACCGACGAGCCCAAGACAGCGGCCAGCAGCGTCTGGGAAGACAAGTACGAGATTGACAAGGGCATGATTCCCAGCATCATCACCCAGGACTTTGCTCAGAAAGTTTTCCTCATTGGCAAGTCCCTCAATTTCATCCGGCACAGCTGCGGCGACTCGCAGTGGGTGGAGAACTATTCCAAAGACGCATCCAAAGAGCTGCGATACGGAGACACAGAGACACTGGAGGCCTGGATAGACGAAGCGTACAAAACCACCATGAAACGTCTCATCGACCTCATGGCCAACAAGTTCCACCTCTATGAGCACCTACAGGCTCTCAAAGATTACATCCTTCTCGGCCAGGGCGACTTCATCGCCCTGCTCATGGAGTCCCTCGCCGCCAACCTCGACCGGCCTGCCGGCGCGCAGTACCGTCACACGCTGACCGCACAGCTGGAGCATGCTATCCGCGGCTCGAATGCCCAGTACGACTCCCCCGAGGTCCTCCGTCGCCTCGATGCCCGCATGCTCCAGCTTTCCCATGGAGACATTGGCTGGGACTGTTTCACGCTTGAATACAAGATTGACTCCCCGGTGGATGTCGTCGTTACGGAATGGGGCAACCGACAGTACCTCAAGGTCTTCAACTTCCTGTGGCGCATCAAGCGCGTCGAATTTGCCCTGGCGTCTACGTGGCGCAAGTGCATGACCGGCGCCCGCGGCGTCCTGCAGACGGGGGATCCCAACGTCGTCCAGACGTGGAAGTCGACACGCGGCGTGCTCGCCGAGATGATCCACTTTGTCGGCCAGCTTCAGTACTACATCCTCTTTGAGGTCATCGAGTCCTCCTGGGGCGAGCTGCAGGACCGCATCCACCGCGAAGGCTGCACCCTCGACGACCTGATCAAGGCGCACACCCGCTACCTCAACGACATTACCCACAAGGGACTCCTCGGCGCCAAGCGCACCGCCCGCCAGCAGGCCCCCGAGCTCAACCCCGCCGGCGAGGACGACCGCACCTCCTACCTCGCCCAACTCGGCGACCTCCTCCGCACCATGCTCACCTACCGCGACTCGGTCGACGGCCTCTACTCCTGGTCCGTATCGGACTTTACTCGGCGTCAAGAGGCCGACGTGCGCTTCTCCACCCGTCACGCCGCTGCCAAGGCTGCCGACGACGACGACGACGCCGCCGCCGCGCCTGGCGGCACCTCGGCCATCGCCTCCGAGTTCCCCGCCCTCCACGACCGCCTGCGCCAGCTAGGCGCCTCGTTCCGCACGCGCCTGCAGATCCTCCTCGGCGACCTCGCCTACCAGTCCGACGTCGACATGCGCTTCCTTGGCGTGGCCATGAACTTCAACGACGTCTACCAGCCCGCGCGCCGCAAGGCCAAGGCCGCACCCGGATCAGCAGCCTCGGACGCAAAGGCGAGCACATCGGGTGCCGCCGCGGGCAAGGGAACGAGGTAGGTCAGCGTATCAGACCAGGCGCCGGTCGCGGGGCGGGGAGGGAGGTGGGGGGGCATTGTGTCCTCTTATACCGAAAGGTGGCGGTCGGATTCCATGGATCACGGATTGCGCGAGGCGCAACTTTATGACTAGACCAACTTTGACTCTTCAATTTTTGACGACAGTACATGACCGAACCGAGCCATGTCGTGAACTTTGTTCAATGCATCGAGCTCGTATGATTGAAAAAAAGGGTAGCAAGTCATACCCCGTTGCAAGGCTTGTGTCGACTGGAATCTCTTGTTCACTCACGTGGTCGAGGCAGACATGTCACTTTTGATCCAGAGCGCAAAGTAGGTCGTAATCCTCGTGCCATTTCATCATAGAATCATGAGCTAAAGACGGCTCTCTCCGCGAGAACCCACCTGGCCAAAGATGATACATCTTGGTACCCTGTCCCTTGAGTATGGAGACAAGCCCTCCCTCTCTGCTTACTTTGACACAATTACTTCCACCACCTGACACGGCACCCTCTTGACCGCTGCCTGTGCACCTTCACAACCCGTCTCCCTTCAACGAAGGAGGGACAAGCTGGACGCCACGGCGAGTGGCCTCGTGTGCCTGCGTGTCCGCCCGCACCGGACCACTGGCCGTGTGGGCGATCACAGCCTCTCCTCTCCTCGTGAGCCACGTTGACGTCTTCTCTCCTTCTGTTCCCGTTCCTTTGATGCCCGATCCGTTTCTTTTTGACCGTTCGCGATAGGTCGATGTCTCGACGCAACTATTTCGCCGCCCCACCCAGGGGCGCCCAAAGTCCAACACTCATTGTATTAGTCTATACACGCAAGTGACAAAAGCACTTGCAAATCAGCGGTCGGATGTGTCTCTGCTCGGCGCTGTTCGAGCAACACACCCTGATCCGCAGAAAAATGGATGTCTGTTTTGTTCCCATTCTCAGAAAACGATGAGGAAACTAGTGTAGCGATGTCGTAGTAACGCCATCGTCATAGCTTCCCAGTGTGATGAGCATGATGGTGAAATCAACAAAGGGAAACCGGGTGACGGTGGACGTGCGCACATCGCTGGGAGGAAAAAAACGCCGCTGCAACCCAATGCTAGCCACTCAACCGATCATAAGGTTGGTCGTGGCGTCGTCATGTCTCATATCAATATATGCTTCGCCATGAGTCGAAGCTCAGAGTACTTTCTACAGCACTCAAAAATGTTAAGGGGCACTGTGAAATCCAAATGATTCCTCCGCACCCTGCTCGAGGAGAAAGTAACCAGAACGGTACGATTCAGATCCTCTTCTGCGCTGATCAGCTCTGTTCAAATCAAGAACGCTGCATAAGCTCAGTGTCGTCATGTTGTTTAGTTGAGGTGAAGATGGTTTCGTCCTTCACACATCGGTCATCTCTGTATCCTCATCAGAGCTGATAGTGGCCATGTCGCCAGGTCCCCAGACGCCCTCGAAAACCGTGGCGGCTGATCGTCGGCGATCAGCGACCCAAGTCATTCCGGCGGACCCCAGAAGCTGCTGAATCGTGGGGCGCTCACTCGGCTCAGGCTTCGTCATCCATCGGACGACCTGGTCCAGTGAGTCTGGGTGGAAGGCGTCACACATGAAGTCTGGGGGAGACAACAGCTCCGACCGCTTAGGCGAAGAGATAGGGCTACTGCCTGCGTGGAAGGGCGGTTTGCTGAAGGAGTCGTTGAAGTTGACGGCAATGTCTGAGACAATGCTTTGGTTCAGCGACAGGTCGTCTTGCGACAGACCAGTCGGAACGCCAGCCACATCTCTGATTTGCGTCGCAGAACTCGCGCTGAAGGTCAGGCTCGGGACTTCGGAAAAGTCACCAGAACGCAGCGCGACCCATGCAGGACCATTGTCTGGGAGAACAACGTTGCAAGCCATCTCGACAAGAATAAGTCCCAGAGAGTAGATATCCGCAGGCTTGTCAAATTTGCCACGCAGGATCTCGGGACCGATGTATTCTCTGTCGCCCTCGGCGTCAACGCCCTTTGCAGCAGGCCATGCGGTCGCCAGTCCGAAATCACCAATCTTGAGGATACCCTCAAATGTTATGAGGATGTTAGCAGGCTTCAGGTCCAAGTGGATGAAGCCAGCGTCGTGAATGCTCTGCAAGCCCTACAGTTCGCGTTAGATGGGACTCGATGATCAGAATGGAAAGAGACGTACCAGGCTGATGTCATGGATGACCTTCCAGATGCGGAAATCGTCCAGCCTGCCCTTGCAACCAACATTGCTCAGGAACTTGTCGAGAGTTCCCTCGTCGCAGAATTCCGTCTGGATGAACAGATGGAGCTCGTGCTCCCAGCTGTCTACATAGTGTATGACATGATCGGCGTGCGTCAGAGCTTGAAGTGCGTGAACCTCCCTCATTTTGTTCTCACGGTCTTTGGGGCCCATGATGGCGCGGCGTGCCTTCTTGACCGCATAGATGCGATCAGGCTCAGGGCTACCAGGAGAGTGGCGGCTAGGGGTGCCGTTGAAGATGGAGAGGAACGAGGCGCGGGCCGAAGTGCACTTGACGACACGGAAGACCGAGGAGAACTCGCCCTTGCCCACCAACTCGACCTTATCAAAGCGCGCGTATAGGGAATCGTCAATGTCGCCATTGCCACGGCCATTAACGGGCGTCATGAGCTGAGTACCGACGGACTGGAACGATTCGCGTCCAGAAGGTGTGACGGGGGGGCGCACGCCCTGAGATGGTGTTGATTCGTGTGCGTTGGAGATGGACAGACAGCTGGCATCAGGAATGATGACGGCGGCCTGCGGTGTCCTGGGAGTATGCTGCTCGACGGGGCTGGCTGAATGGAGGCATGATATGTTAGTCAATAACTTCTTCGGAGATTCGAATGCCGAGGTCCTTATCCGAGTTCGCAGGGGCGAGGGTGTATGAAACCCTTTTCTGGTTCTCGAACGGCCCAAGGACGGCAAAGCCAAGTGTAGGGAAGGGGTGGCAGCGTGGCAGAGAGGAGTGACAGAGTAATCTGGGAGTGCTGTAGATTGGTCTGCGTCATTCCGCGGGCTGCTGTGTCGCCTCGTATGTTGTGACTCACCAGTCGATTCTCGAGAGATCTCGGGTCGGACGGCAGAAAAGGGAATGCTGATGGATCGATTGGCGGTTGGGCTCTCGGCACCTAAGCGTCTGGCGGAGAGGTTGCCGAAAGTCGGGGTGGTGCTCTGCTTCGTTGGTGTCGGAGGGGCGTCAATGTCAACGCCCAAAGGAATGACATGGTTGCTCTCAAAGGTGAACTTCTTATCCTCGCCATCAAGACTGAGAAGACTGCCCCTGCGACCGTGGCGAGGACCTAGGCGATGGAAGATACCGAGGCCCTTGCTGGAATTGCCGAATCCATTGCTCGACTGAATACTTGAGCTGAAGGGCGAGGCAGGGGGGTTGCCGAACGAAAACCGGCCGCCATTCCGCTTCATGGCGCTTCCGGGCGGCGGCGGGTAGGTGGCAAAGCCGTGTGTGGGCTTCTTACAGGGCGTGTCAGGCATGGTGAGCTTTGGCTCCTCCTCCGGGTTTCGATTGACCTTGGAGATGAGGCCCGTAGACATGAACGCGCCTGCCCAAGGCTTGACGTCCTTGAAAGGAGTCACATTATCGTCCTTCCGAGGGGGGGCGCCACCACCATATGGCAGCGACTTGGCAAAGTTGCTAGGGGCGGATGGTTTCGCAAAGACGGCCGGGAGTGCCTTCTCAACAATGACGGCAGGCTCTTCTTGCAGACTGTTACCGCTGGATGAGGTGGTCAGCGTCTTCGATAGCGGGTGAGGCTGGTTGGACGAGCGATCGACCGGGTGTACGGAGGGGTTAGGGAGAGGAATGCTAGACGAGAATGGGCTGTCGCGATTGATCTGAGGAGGTAGAAACTGGTCGAGCGATAGGCGAGGACGGTTCTTGGCATTGGGTGTCGAAAAGTCTCCGCTCATCTGAGCTAGATGGTTCGCGCCCGAACGACGGCCCCACGAGCTTCGGTCATGCTGTCGCTGCTGAAGTGTGGATTTCCTTAACGACCCGGTCCTCCGAGGAATGGATGGTGCTGGCGGTGTGGGCGAAGGAAGCGGCTCACGGTGCGCGACCGAGCCACTGCCGAAAAGCTCGTATTCACGGTTGCTACTGCTGGTGTCGTCATGAATCTCGAAGTTCGTTGACGACGGGACGGGTGTCGACCCCCCAAAAATATTCGCGCCCGTCTCGGTATATCCGAAGCTCGCAATTCCGTGCAGACTGCGTCGTTTAGCAACGGGACTGCTAACATTCGGCTGGTCGAGATCCATGATAGCGTCGCTGCGCTTCAATGCGCCCGAACCAGCCGTTCCTGGCGGCAGTTCAGAATTGTCCATGGCTCGGAAGATGTTCTGATGCACAGAGCCGGAGACGTCGAGGTGAAGGCTGTGGCGGGATGACTTTTCCAGCGGTCTCCTTGGAATGGAACTCCTGGGAAGCGGGCTTCGTGGCGTGGTGGAGATGTTGTTGCTGTTGCTGCTATTGTTCTCCTGGCCGGGTGAGTCAGGGCCTGGCATAGAACCCGGAATGTCTGTCTCGTTGGTAACACTCAGGGTACGCTTGAGGGGCGACTTCGGGGATGCTCTCAGCCTCGAGAACGGCCGGGGAGGTGTCGAAGATTGCTTTTTCGCGGAGCGCAGCGAGAGCTTGACATTGGGGGAGAAAATAGAAGACGCGGTGGGAGGGGGGTGTTGGGGAGTTGTAGACACGAAGTTGGATGGGGGTGTAGTCGTGGCCGGCTGCTGTGATGGAGTCTGGCTCCTTGTGGACATGCTAGGGCTGTATCGGCGGCAAGGTGACCGATCCACGGGGGAGTGGGAGTTGTTTGGGGAATCCAACCCGTGCGGGTGCGGGTTGGTGCGAGCGAGGTTGAATCTTGATGGTGATCGTGAAAGAGATCGCCTCAGACTCCTGACAGAGGTAGCCAGGACGTCAACGTGATGAACGTGGGTCGGGCTCGGCACGGTGAGTGTGCCACCACCGCCGCCAGAGTAGGACATGGCTAGTGTGTGGACTTGTTCGAGGTCAAGACACCGATTTGAGGTCTGGGTACTGCGCCTTCCCAGACAACCGGAATTAGGATGCGCAGAGTGCAGACAAGTTACGAGGCAATGTGCTCGTATCTCGATGTTTGCGAGTCGAGTGTGTGCGATACTCCTTACTGCTCTCCGGAGAATGCGAGCAAGATTGGATCAAGCTTCCGTTGCGGCTTCCTGAGACGCAAAGATGACTGTGAGCACGCTCGTTGATGGGTTTCCAGTCGCTTGAGACTATTTTGGTACCACGGGTGAGCGCGCAAGGATACGTATCTGCGATATGCGTGTCGGCGAATCGCGGATAGAGAGGCGAGAGGGCGATGGTCTGTGGAATCTCCAACTGTCGAGGGATCGTGCAAAATGTCGCTTGGAGGGTGATGTGAGGCTGGGGAGAGAAGAGAACGCGGCGCGTTCAAAGCATGGCGTGGGATCGCAAGCAGATCACAGGGGATGAGGACCCATTCCCTCAGTCAAGTGAAGTGCTGCTGCGTTGCTTCTCTGTTGGCGTATCGAGTATCCGATGTCGATGCCGATGCCGATGTCGAAGTCGATGTCGGGCGGCTGCGCGCGGTCTCCGAGGAATGCGATCGATGGTTGAACGGGTTGGCAAGGTGAAGAGTTGGGAAGTCGAATGCTGTCAGTCAGGTCAGGTCATGCCGTGGAACTCCAGGTCGAGGAGAACGGAAATGGTAGGGCGGTTCAAGGTGGTGGTGGCAATGACGGGTGGTGCCTGGGGTGGGAGAGAGGGCCAGAAACTTGGACGTTGCAGAACGGCTAGTTGGCGGCAGGACAAAGGGGGCGAGGAGTAGTGGGCAGTAGGCGGCGGGAGATGGGACGAGATGTGTGTGTGCTTGTGTTGTGGTTCGGGAGCCAAAGTGGAGGTGCGTGTGCGTGTGCGGTGAGCTGATGCGCGAATGGGCGGCAGGCACGACGCACGATAACTGGGTCCTTCTACCTTCGCGGACGCGCGACCTGGAGTCCCCTTGTTTACTCTCTTACTTGTTCTGGCTAGCCTCTCACGTGATGGCGCGATCCAATGTTATGTGGCATTTATGGGTCTCTCCTAGCACGAGACATGAGGTCCTGCCGTTGGACGTCCTTGCCTTCGTGGTACAGACGGACACGAGGGCTGAGGAGAGAACGGCCGGTGTCGCGAAGAAGGAAGGAAACGAGAGAAAACATGAATCAGGTTCAGATTCACTGTCCAGACTTCTGTGGTCCAGGTCGCTGCCAACTCGATCATGTTCCTCGCTATCGCGGCATCAAGAGACAGTGAGCGGACCACCGCTGACGCGGTACGGGACCCGGGAAGAACCCAACGGTCTGGCATCGCAAGGGCCCCGGTCCTGCCACCTTTTTCCTGCCGTTCCTTCTGCCAGCGTTTTTCCAGCACAGCAATTGGTCATGGTGCCCGCGCCTCGTCTTTCGCCCGTCTCTGCCAGTCGCGCTCTCTCTCTCTCTCTCTCTCTGTGTGTGTGTGTACATGTAAATTTCTCTCCCAATGCTTCTGCAGGGACCCGCCCACGCTTCGCGCCCCCCTCCCCCTCCAGAGGGGGGCCTGGAGGGGGCGATCGGCTGCTCAAGACACCCTCTCTGCGAGGGGATCCCTTGCCTTTGGGCGTCATATGGCTGCCAGCTGGCCCAGATCTGCCATCAGGTTCCTGTATCGAGGCGCAAGCGAAGACGTCAGCACTGTTCTCTCCTCGCGTCGAGCGAGAGAGACACAGAGAGCCTGTCCGTCCGTCAAGTCCGATCCATCCTACAACCCCAGCGCGGGTACCAATAGTGCACGCACACCCCATCAACACCACCACCACCACCGCCGCCGACGACGACTCGGCAAAAAGAATGGAGATCAAAACAAAACAACAACAACAACATACACCACAACACAACCACCACCACAACAGTTGCAACTCACCATCCGGCGCCCCGAGTGCCCTCCAACCTCCAAGGCCCCCCTTCCCCTGCTTGGTGCAAGCCTTTTTCTGTCCCCCTATTCCATGCGCATTTTACTCCCCACCGATGACAGAGGGGGAGAGAAAATAGGGGGGGTTCCTGTAATTGCAATCCAATATTATGCTTCATGCTCTCTCCAGGTCTTATCTCGCTTGACCACCAGCCTCCGCTCGTCAATCTTTCCGCCCGTATGGGCCGGGGGGCTGGCGGGGACGCGGTGGAGAACTGCGTGGATGGCCTGCCACAGCCTGACCTCCCGCTCCGAGGAGGCCCAAGCACCTTGGCGGCTCGTAAAGTGTCTATGTGTGTGTGTGCCGGAACTTTTCTTACTCACACCCAAGCCAGCCCTCGGGGAGGCGCAATACCTCGTGAGGCGGCTGGGACGGACGGCTGGGGCAGGGGGGGGGGAGGCAATGGCAGTTGAAAGAGAAAGATCACGCTGGAATGTTGGTTGGCGAGATGGAACACCCGACTCAGCAAGTGAGACCTCTACAGCCTCCGGAGGGCTGCGCCGTCCGCCCCCGTGGGCGTGTTGCCCAGACAGACTTCGATACTTTGCAAATCACTGACTACCTGATGATGCGACGAGCTAGGTTGAGGACCCGTCAACCCCCCCTGTGGAGCCTGTCCCGGCCCAGCCGCACCTAGCCCTCCCGCTGCCTTCCCACCCAGCCTTGGGCCTTTCCCTTCTACATCCATCCGACCCCGAGGCACAGACTCCCGCCATCCGAGCGAAGTGCTTTGTCGAAGGGGGTGAACAAAGGGTTCTGTTGTTCCAGCTTGCTGAACCGCACACAGTTCGGATAGCGCGCCGCCCGTGGATCGATGTCCGAGCTTGTCCCTGAGTTGCAGATCTTCGCCGCCCGCGTTCATCAAACATCACACGTTGTTGGTCGTCAGCCCACCAAGGTTGGTTGTATCAGTCCATCAGGCGCATAGGGCAGCCCACCAGCCCAGGGTGGGAAAAAAAGACGGAAAAAAACAGGGAAAACGAGATGACCCTGATCTTGTACAAGGCCCGAAAGCACCACGGCGCCGCGCTAACGAGCATAAACATCGATATTGACAATCCCATCTGAAAATCAAATTATGCCCAGGGCGGATTTCGCAGTCGGGCATGAAGAGGTCCAATATTCACAATCCCTGACAATCATGCTAGCACTTCCCTCTGAAGGGCCAACCATACGACAACGAGGATGGCGCCTGTAAGGGGGAGAGGAGAGGGGGGGACACAAAGAACCCTTCATTCCAGAGGACACTCCACTAGTTCCCCAGCATACCACTCGTGTTTCCAACTGTTCGACTCCGCGACGTGACGAGACGTCATCCGCCCACCATGTCTTGGATACGAAGACAGGACGTCGCTACTCCGACCTCGCGTTTTCGCTCACTGGTCTTGTTGATGAGTCTCAGACAACAGTCTTTTGGTGTCGAAACGATGACAACATCACCACGTTGCGCTCCTGACAGTTTACCCTCGTCATGCGATCTTGAAGCACAGCCTGACAACCCCAGCCCTCTTGTGGAATGTGCTTCAAACGAAAGTTACCTCGGCGGCGGGGCGAGAGTATCGTGGGGTATCTGGAACCAAACGCTGTTGATTGTGCTTTGTCGCCATTTCGGCAGCTTTCAACCGCTATCAATGGAGCAAAAAAAGACGCTTAGTAGAGTCGGAAGAGTGAAGCCCTCCGTCCACGCTGGTCCCATGTCACTGCCAGAACCCAGGATCCCCCTAACAGGAACGCCTTGCTCATTCCTACGCCCTGAAGCCATAGCAACCACAGCCATCCAGCCTGACTGCGCCAGCAAGTAAGGGAGGCTGGTCGGAAACATGATCCTCTCCGCTGGTCAAACGCAAAAACACATCCCCACTTTCCACCCCATGTGATGACAGACGCCTGACTCCAGACCCGGGCCGACGTCTGTCGGGTATCATAAGTCGAAGGACCACACGATGCTGCCTACTAGCCTAGGACAAGTTTTTCCGAATCCACTCCGCCCACTGGCAGAGATCTTCAAACACCTCGAGCAGCCTGCCGAGGTCATGTGGCTTCATCTTTCGTCGAGGGCCCTCGGTGATGTCCTGCGCAGCATCCAACTCGTCGGACAGGATGTTTTGTGAGACAATATTGACTACCCCGTTCGGGAGAACTTGCAGCTCGATGTTGGCGGTCGCATCTCGGAACGGGAACACGATACTGAGACCAGCCGTAGGGTGGACGGAAAGCACGACGTCCAGAGTCAGCGGTTTCCCCGCTTCCGAATCCCGTTTTGCCTCTTTATCAGCCATGAAACGCTTGAACTTGGCACTTGTCGTCATCACCTCACGTGTGATGATGGATTTGTCCAGCTTCTCCAGCCCCGAGCCAGTGATGTTAGCCCCAAAACTGCGTGCCAGGAGCCGTGAAATGAAAGCGTATTGCCGTAGCGTGGGAAGCATGGCGACCAGCTGGCGTGGATGCGAGAAGGGCAGCTCACTGATGGTCTGTCCATACACAGGCTTATACACGAAGAGCGTATTCTCGTGCCTGCGTCGCTGTGGTGCCCCCGAGACGAAGACGTCCCTCTCGCAGGATATCGTACGGAGCTCGCTAGCGTCATGATTCTGTCCGTCGACGATGGGGAACGATATGCCGTCAAATGTGTAGCTTGGGAGCATCATCGGCGGTGGCTGCGCGCCGCTCAGGTTGTACAACGCATTGCAGACAGCCTGGGGCACGATGACTGGGGGGTTGAGTGTTGCAACGAACTTGACGTTGGGGTATCGCTGCGTGGTACCGTCTGGCTGGACGACTTCCACTGCAACTGCCTTGTTGTCGGAGGCTGGTGGGAGGACCGTAGGTGCCGGTTCCAGCCAGTCCAGCAGGGGACCATTGGAAGGTTCCAATAGATCTGTGGGCACAGGGTCGGTCTTTTCAATTCTTTGAGATATCCAGTCCTCGGAAATTCGGATAGGGGGGTAGAGCTCGCCGTCCAAGGGTCTGCATCCGACTATGATGGACCAAATCTGTTCGGCGTTTGCGCAGTACGTCTCGGTCGCTGGGGTCTTGGGTGGTACAAGGCGCCGTTCGGCCCAGTAATCAAGAGACAGCCCGACCTGGTCGCGCGCATGCATGGCGGGACGGCCGCTTCTTGAACATTGGACGGTCCTCTCCAGTAGAACGTCTGGCTTTCCTGTCATGGCCGGGTCCTCCTTGACCCGTGTCAACTCCCAATTATATAGCCTTTCCAGGCTCTCAAAGATGCCCGCAACTGCTTCTTGGCAGTCCAAGCCAGGAAATATGCTAAGCTTGTCCAGTGTTGCAAGCCGTTCGAGATTGGCAGCGAATTCGTCCATCTTCTTCGTCAGTGGACTTTGGTCTGGCAGAAGCTGCAAGTCGCGTAGCAAAATCTGCCCCGCGCTGTCGACGTGTTTTGCGACAATGGGTGACTCGGACTCGGGAAACGCAAGCGTGACGCCTTCCACAATATTGTTGTCGAGGATGATGTCTAGTTGGAGGCCGTGGCCAGCAATCACTAATGTCTTCTTTACTTTGCCGTCAGGCGTTCTGTGGTCTTCCCAAATCTTGTTAAGTCCTGTACGCTGAGACAGGCGTTCGAGGCCAGCTTCGCTGACGCGTCCTTTAGCGTTCTGTTTGCCGCTTCGGTTAGCCATGTTCTTCCAACGCCTGGGAACGGGGTTGTTGATCGAGGGCACGAACTCCGATAATGTCGATGATCGTATCCAGACGCTTGATTCTGTCGTCCTCGCCAGTAAGACCCCCGATACCACCGAGCCCGTTGACGCTGACGTTGTCCAGTCCTAGGTCCAACCCGCCTCCGATGCCAAGCGCACCCATAGCTGCTGCTGCTGAGGGGCTGTCAAAGTTGAGAGGCGCATTCGTGTGACCCATTAGTGTTGCCGACGTCGCTGGCGACTTCTTAAATTGCTGCGGGGACGACTTGGGCCCTCGAGGGGAAAATGCGATGTGCGCATACGAGAAGGGCGTCGATACTGGCGGGGTCGCTGCTGGGAAAACGGACGGAGTGCGTCCCTGCTGCGGCAGGCCGGGTTTCGGAGCCTTGTCTGCCAACTTTTCCCCTGGCGTTGGAGTTGCCATTTTTCTAGTTTCCTCAGAGCAGTTTCGTATGACAATGTTGGTAGGTGATATCCAAAACAGAACGGACGTTGGAGGTGGTTGGCAAGAGTCTTCCACGGCGTGGCTGTCGGTAGTCTGAGTAGGATGAAGCGATTTGCTGTTGTTAGTGATGTCGGGTGGCCCTTGGGTGGGTTTAATAGCAAAACAGAGTATGTAGGCAAATGCTAAATTGTTCTTGTAGAGGCAAGGTAGGTAGGTAGGCAGCTGAGGTCAACATTGGCGAAGTGGGTCGAAGAAGAGGTCGGTCCTCACGGTAGCAGCTTATGCGAGATCTCGCGCTAAGGACACCTCAAAGTGGGGGGGAATATGTACCCCCCGATGCACCCAAAACCTCGAAGTGCAACGAGACGATAGAAACCGTGGAAATGCCACTCGTCATGTCATAGTAAAATTTTCAATGGTCAAGAGTATGGAATGGAACATGTTGGAGCGCTCAAAATTAACGCAAGGCATCACAGGCACATCGAATCGTCGATTGCAGTGCACACATGTGCAGCCCACAGGTCGGGGCGCACCAAACCTGGATGCCGCCGTCTACGGGCCAGCCTACCTACATACGTCTCCTACACGTGCCAGCCCTCAGCCAAGCGGCAAAACCATCCCTCGTTCAGGATCAGTCTGGCCCTTTCTCAAGCTTTGTAGCCCGGCTCGAGAGCACACGTTCCTGGTCCCTTCCCAAAGTATGTTTCCGACACACAACCGAGGAGATGCGGCGCCCTCGAAAAAGGTTCGAGTGTTGCGCCTCGTGGCTACAACGAGCCAGCCCTGAATGCAGCGCAGGAAGCAGTGTGATCCTCCAGTGCCCGACTACCGCTTCCAAATACCTTCGGTGTTGCCATCTTTCCTTGGCTTGGAGAAAAAGGAACTACCCCCTTCATGAACAAGTCTGCAGAACAAGCACGAACCTCTGTGTCCTCGCCTAGACACCAGGCTTTGAACATGATCCGTTTCTGTGCACTCTTTGGTCATGTGGTCTGAATTTGGTACGGGAAAACAATAACCGCATTCACGTTTTCGGGTTCATATCGTTCAAGAAGCCTTTTATTGTATTCATGGGATCGTTACCGAAAGGACGTTTCCAACACACTTTTGTAGAAGTTAATAAGTCGTTATCATCATAAATAGTACCTCAAGGTATGTGCCGCCTCCAGCTTCCAGCCGGTGCATGCCCTTCTGTCTTGAGCATTCACCTCCATGGCCAGAGGTTTAACCGCGATGTGGTGACCACCAAGGCAGATCCTGGCAAGTTTGCTCTCTCCGAATGTCATGCCAGGTAGAGTTCTCACCGTAGGCCCATGATGGTCGATCCCGGTGTGTCAAACCTCCGGGTTCTGTCGAATCGAATGAACAAAAAAGTCGAGAGTCGAGGCAGACCTCGCTCGGGCATTAGGTCCTTCCATGCAAAGCGTGAATCATCAGACATCTACAGCCCGTGATGGTAGGTTCTGGAAATGAAAACGGTACGTCGTAAGGTCATCAGCGCATCGGGCAGAGCACAAGGCGCTGACGTCATGTTGCGAATACAAGGTAACAAGGAGAATTGAGAGAAGGAGTGTTGAGGGGAGCAGAATCTGGTGCCTCCCCATGTTCCGACCCACGAAGTTTCGTGGACGTGCCGCAGAAATCGTGACCACAACGCCGCGGGATGCTGTGACGAAAAGTGCAGTCAGCGTGGCATAGCAAACATGGTTAATGGTTTGCTGCTTCACCTCCGCCGCGTGGGAGCGACAGTCGCGGAAGCTGGCCTAGCCATAGCATCGTAACCGGTTGCAGGGATGGTCCCATCAATGAGCGTCTTTCGTCGCTTCATTTCCATGCCGGGACCGCCGCTCAGGGGCCGCTGAAGATCATCTTCATCCTCGCGGCCTCGCTTGATGCCACTGCTGCCGTTCAGCACGGGCTGCTGCGAAGCATAACCGTTGGACATGGAGCCAATGTCAGCTGATGGGGCGTAAACGTCACTACCAGCCGAGCCACCTGTTGCGCCTCGGTCATTGCTCATGACGCTGTAGAGATTGCTGGATGGCTGCTGCTGAACCCGAGGAGGGGTGCTGTAGCCGGGCTGCTGGGAGTAGTACGGCTGGGGAGGCGCGGCCGTGCGGGGCGTCGCACGTCCAGACGTCGGGGCGTGGCTGGGAGATCCCGTCATCTCGGGCGACAAGTGGTGTTCGGAAGACAAAGCTCCAACAGGGGGTGCGGCGTAGTTATAAGAAGCTCGGTTACCGTCGTAAGCTCCACTATCATGGGTGTACTCGGCATCCTGCTCATGTTCGGCCTCATCGTCGCCGCCTTGGTGACTGACACCGTGTCCATTCTGGTCCGAAGACGAGATTATGCCGTTCGTAGCCTTTTGGTCCACGGGGGCGCCGGGTCCTGCAGGGCGCGACGAAGGAGGGCCCATGTCATTTTTGCCGTATGGGTCGTTGTGTCCGTACAAGGAGCGATCCTGTGGGCCAGGGTTTGTTGTCTGATACGGTGACTGCTGTGAGGACGCATTGTACATGGGTCGGGAGTTGTCGTAAGACTGGCTAGCAGCGGGATATTGCTGCATACTCTGAATAGATGATCCGGGGGGCGTGGTAGCAGGTGTAGCTGGCATCGAGCGCGCGCTGCTCAGCCCAGTGTCAATGGACATGGGGTTCGCATTTTGCGCGCTGCCTATACCTTGACCCTGCTGGGCCCACTGGAAGCCATCTGAAGTGCCCATGTTGCCGCCCATGACGCTCGAAGCACTGGTCGGAGGCGTCGGGAAAGTGTGAGCTCTGTCCAGCGAGGGTCGTCCCATGTTGGAGTGAGACGGAAGCGGCTGCTGGGGGCCAGGAAGTCCCATCGAGTGGTGGTGGTGATGCTGCTGAATAGGTGCCAGGCCTGGGCCCGATTGAGAGTTGCGCATCTGGTTCTGTTCCTGCTTTCGACGCTCGGCCGAAGCCATGACTTGGTTGGTACGGTTCTGGTTGGTGGGGTGGTACAGGAGGGCGCCGATGTTGTGGACGAAGAGGGGGTACAGAAGCTCTGTAATCTTTTCCTTGTTTGCGAAATCGAGAGCCCTCTCGAACGGGATCCTGGGAATTCGTCAGGAACGAGTGGCTCAAGCTGAACAGGAAGAATGTAAAACTTACCACACGCCCTTGAGGTGCATGGGCCCGATTTTCACGACGTGTCTCAGTTTTTCACTCTTCAAGATACCATCCCTGCGACCACGGGTCATGCCAGCCACGTTGAGAAGCTTCGTGCCATTGATCATATGGTTATCTGCGATTCCGATTAGTGATGCATTCCTGAAGCGAAGGTTCACGTGTCCGTTCATGCGTACCTTCGCGACGAGCAACGCAAATACCGCGCGCCTCAACCTGGAAGCACAGACTGCCTTCGTCTTCCCAGAGTGTTGCCGTCACTCGGGGCTTCATGCCAGGTGGCGCCACCTGGCCCGTTGTGTCAAATCCCTGGTAAGCATTGCCGTTGGGAGGCGCGGGCAGCGGCAGCACATTTTGAGACGCGCCCATCGAGTTTCCAACGTTCGGGTGGGCATTTTGGGGCGAAGCCATGCCATTGGCATAACCATAAGGCTGACCGTACTGCTGGGCGGGAGGTGCAGGGTATTGGGGCAAATGGCTTGGCTGCAGCGGAGGAGGTTGTTGCTGGTGGTGGTAAGACATGCCCGATGTTACTGTTTGGTTGGAGGGAGGCTGGCCTGCAGACATATGCTGTTGGTAGTACATTTCAGCGGCTGGTTGGTTCATAGTGGGATACTGTTCGTATCCTCCAATTGATTGGCTTGCAGATCCTGGAATGGTGGTCGTGACGGGCAGGTTAGGAGAGGGGGTTTTGGGGCCGTTGGAGGATGCAGCCGAGGTGAAGGACGACTGAGAACCGAGGTGGGAGCTGGCTGCTGAACCGATGGAGCTGACCCGAGGTGACGATGTCCCCGAAGAGGAGTAGGCCTGGTGTTGAGCGGGCAGTGGCAGAGAAGGTATTCTCTCGGTACCCATGTACAGCGGCCGTTGGTTAGAGGGGGCGTTGTAGTATGACACGTCGGCCAGGCCCCGGGTCTGCACGTGGGAGATCGGAGGGAGATCCAGCTTCACGGTATTGCTCAAAGGCTCGTGTCAAGCACACACTGTCGAGAGGTTGAGATGCAGGGCTTGCTTGCGGAAGCGGCAGCAGACACTTGTGAGCGATTGTGGGCGGCCGTGGATCGAAGAAGCGTCCAGACAAGGCAGCAGTCGTCAGGGGCAATCGTTGGTCTCGTAAAAAGTCGTTAACGTTGGCGCTCGTGGTGATCGTGACATCCGTCGGCAGACCGTGAGAACAGAATCTTCTTTCAAAATCTCGGCAGACGAGCGAATTGAGCGGGCAAGCCGAGCTAAAAGCACAGGACAGAGACAGGGGAGGAGGTAGACCGGGCGAGAGATGCTCGGGACTGATCTTTCTGGGAGGGGGGGGGCGGTGGCTTTCGTTTGAGTTGGTTCACAAGGTCGTAGATGGTGACAGCTCGGGAAGGCTCAACCCTTTAAGTCTAGATACGAATGTGAATCAGCTCCCGCATTCGTGGGGTCTATTTCCGTCGGTAAGCGGAGGAGGGCAAAGATAGAGTTGAGGGTGGAGGGCGGCCGAGGGCAAGAGATGCAGTAACAGGATGCGCGATGACAAGTGGAAGAGGAGTTGGGGCAAGTTGCGTTTTTGGTTTTGGCTTGGTTGGGCTGAAGTGAAAGGCATGGATGGAGGGACAGGCGGCGCGGGCAAGACGACATTGTAAGCGAAAACAGTACTAACCTTCCTCTCCGTTTTCACGGGGGGGACACGACCTGCTGGGATAGGGAGCGAAAGGGAAGGGGAGAAGGAATAAGAGGTGGTTGGTGTGTCGTGAAGTGGAAAGGAAAAGGGAAAGGTCCTGGCGAAGGACGGATGGTTTTGTTTTTTGGTGGTGAGGAAGAGGAGGAGGCCGGTCAAGGTCGATACCC